GTACTTCTAACAGAAGATATTTTTTTTGTATGTATGTACTGTGAAACACAGTTACATAAGAGATAAATTTCTGTGGAATTCAAGAGTGTGGGAAAAGCTTAAAATATGTAGCATTGAAGATTTCACTGGAGTCATTATGAAAGAAGGTCACAGTGACTTTCACTAAATCTTTGCAACTGCTCCAGAATTATAAAATAGTGCACTTTTCTTGTAGGGGTTCACTGTTCACTGTCAAAGCTGTATTTTTTGCAAAGGAAAAAGAAAAAAACTACATCCAATATTACATCAGATAATTAAAAAAATTTTTTTTACCTGTTATCTTATCAACTACTTCTTTCTTGTCTTCATCACTATCTGTTTTTTTTCTCTGACGTATATCTGAAGTTGAGTCTTTTTTCTGTGCATCATCTGAATCTTTACGCTCTTCTTGCTGTGCTGCATGACTGTGACCATGAGAATGGCTGTGCCCATGTCCCCCCTTTACATAACGTACAAACTTCTCAACCATGAGAAAGGCAATGATTCCTGTCAAAACCCATAGACCAACATTCATGTCATGGGAATGATCATGCCCTGCACCATCGTGGGAATGTCCATGTGCTGCATCCAGTTTCTGAATCCCCGGTGTGAGAGTGAGGTGATATAGCATGTGGGATGAGATGAAGAAAGGCATCTCCTAGCAACCCACCGGATGCAAAGCTCAAAAGAATTTTGAGAAGTGATTCGTGTTCCGCAGTATTGCTCTGAATTGGGATGAAGAACAGAATAAAGAATGGAGCAGCACTGATTAAAACAGTTGAACCGAGAGCTTCTAGCCACATAGTAAACGTGTCTGCTTTCTTGTTGTTTCCTGCTTTACTTGGCATTGGTATTTCGTCACGTAGTTTGCCATGCGAGTGTCCGCGGTGTCCATCACTGTCATGCGAGTGTCCGTGGTGTTTATTACTGCCATGCGAGTGTCCGTGGTTGTCTGCACTGCCATGCGAGTGCCCGTGGTGGTCTTCACTGCCGTGTGAGTGTCCGTGGTGGTCTTCACTGCCGTGTGAGTGTCCGTGGTGGTCTTCACTGTCGTGTCCGTGCCCGTGATGATTAGTATGATCATGAGGCTCCGCTCCGCCGTGGCTGTGTCCATGCTGTTCTTGAGCAGCACGACTGTATCGCGACTTCGCTGCGGCTATGTCGTCTTGGCTGTGTCCGTGATCGTGGATATGATCATGGCCATGATCATGACTGTGACCGTGTCCGTGGGAATGTTCGCTTCCGTGATCATGGCCGTGCCCACAAACCTCGGGAAACCTAAGGAAACACAGCACAACTGTCAGACTGAGCAAAAACACAATTGTACGGTACGTCGCCATGTTTGGAAATGCCATTCAAAGATACGTGGCCAATAACCGGTGGAACCCCTAACCTGATCCAAAATGTATATGTCATGAGGCGCCGTGATCATGTGACCATGTCTCAACTCGTTGAGCTAAGGAGTTGAGTTGTATGCCGCCTTTTTCTATCAAATAAAACACATAGACTTGACTTGAACACAAGTCGTCCAATTTGTTTTTTTTTGTGTGTGTGTTTTTGCAAGTACGATTTTTTTGGAAAATTCAAAAATCGTTATTTTTACAAATGCGATTTCAAAATAAAAGCATCATGGGAAATATACGTTAGCCGTCAGAATATCTTAATAGTTCGTGACAACCAACAGTCCATACAAAATGATGTATAGGTAACAGAACAACATTTTAATATGATGAAACATTTTTACAAGGATGTTTGAAGTTTCGATGTTTGATTTTTTTTATATTAGTTTTGTGGGCAGCATAAATTAAAGGGCGGTAGCCGTCCTGCCACGTATGCGTGAGATATATAGGTCGCATATAATCAAAGATGGCGACTTGGACTGTTTGACAAACTGGGACGTTACCAAGGTATTTTTTTAGATGATTGGAAGGTATCGAAGGAGACACCCGGGCAGTAATTAGTGCAAGCCGCGCCCAGGTCAAACCTCATATTTGGATTGTGGGAAAATCAATGTTTATCAACACAAATGTCGCACATGCGCAGCACGACGATTACCGCCCTTTAAAACCACCCTGCAAAAATCAACGAATTTCGATGATTAGTAGTCAACTGAAAACGCCACCGTGACAACAATCGCGCCGCGTCGTGCCAGTTTAACTGAATGTGGATCCGTATGAAGACAAATGTGTCTTCATACTCTAAAATCGGTAATGATGATTTATGAAAATGTCAACGTCCCAATGTTGATAGCTATATAGCAGCAATTATTATGTACACTCATTTTTTTAAATCTAGAACTATAGAATAATATAATTTTAATTTATGAAGTTATACCACTAATGGCCGCTGCCATCCTGTCGTATCACACGCGCCCCTGTTGGTTAAGACGAGAGCGATACTCCTGCTTTGTCCACAGGGAGCCCAGAAACTATAATCAACGCAGTCCCTGTGAGCGGGGAAGGGGGATCGGCTGATTATAGATTATGATTATAGTTCGTGGGCTTCCTGTGCTTTGTCATGGCGGAAAATACAAACATGTCAGTTGCTGAGGGTCGATAGAAGGGAATTTTATTCGTGTGACGTCGATTGGCACAACCAGAAGCACAATATCACACGCGCAAGTTTACGTTACACCCCAAAACGGTATGCGCGCCGGCGGGCACAGGCGCTCGGAACTTTTCTTCATGATACTTATAGGTCTATTAGTCAGTCGCAGGTACATTGGCCGAGCACTCATATAATAAAACGTTAGGTCATTTTTATTACCCAAGAAACTTTCCGAGCGCCTGTGTGCGCAGGCATGGGAAATGTTCTTCGACTTCCGGGAAAGTGGTCTATATTGACACGCCGCTCGTGTGAATAGCTAAATGGAATGGCTACTGACACGCCCGGAAGTGATGAACAGTATCATATGCCCCTTTTACACGTAATCTAAGTATCCAACAACAGACTAGTATACACGTTTGACATTTTTGAGATCAAATATATGAAAACTGAAATGATGGTCAAAAATGTATCTAAAATGTACTAATTTAAAACTTTTTACACAGTTGACGATTAGGATTTTTTTAGATTAGTATTTTTGAAACCAAATTTTGAGCGGAGGAGGCTGATTTCAAAAATGTCAAAACGTGCATTTCAAATTTGTAAATGTTAAGGGGAGAGAACTATTGGAAACTGTAGCTAGAAAGACGCATTCTAGGACGATTGTTTAAGCCAATTCACCGATCTACCGAAAAAAGGCATTTCCTAATATTTTATTGCAGGTATGGTATTCAAAGAGACGAAACGAACCAGAACGGAACGAAACGAACTGACTTCATATACTATCCTGTAAATACATTTACATGTATATTGAATCGTATCACATACAATACAAAATGCTACAAATAATCAGGGGGATTGGCACGAGAGGGCGCCATCCAGTCAGTCGCCCGTAGCCCATCGTCGACGCGACAACTTCCCTTTTATGAACATATTAAATAATTTCAGCGATTTCTTTACAGAATAATCCTCAAAAAAACTTAGAAACATCTCGTAGAAAAATACAGGCTCTAAAATTATGTCTAGTGCAAAACATTTCAACCGACAGCCAGTTTGACGCATCGTCACGGTCCGTCTGCACGGTGTTGTTCCGTTCAGTGAAACATACGAGTATTCCACTGATTCCAGAGTGTTGGACTAAACTTGACCATTGTATTCTTTCAGCCCGGGGATCACTTGTATTATTTTATATACGTGGTATGCGAGGCACCAACGTTTGGTGAAAATCAGAGAGATCGGGTCCTTGAAACACATTTACACGAAACACACCGCCTTAGGGATTGGTCAGTTACTTCGGGGGTCGGCAGATTCCATTTTGCCAGCTGTAAATCTCAGTTGACCCACCCCCTATCAAATAAAAAAAAGTGGGTGACCCCCCCCCCACCAACATTATATTATTA